GCCACTAATTCAAATGCCAGTTATTTTATTAGGTATGATGGCAGTGCATTCCCTTGTAGTGCTACCATTGCATTGGGTGATAGCCTTAACTCATCCAGACATAATGTAACCATTAACTCAAACTTAATGGAGAGTAAGGGGGTGTTGCTTGCCAATAAACTCATTTCCTCACATGTTAATAAGTTATAACCCACACACTGACTCACACTATCCATTGAGAGGTGGCCTGTAATGCTGGGGGCGGCATGTAAGTCCTTCAAAGAGACTAGTACCAGGAAGAAAAAATGCTTTGAAATGTCAGGGCACTGAAGCAAGTGATGGGGCAGGCTTGTCTGGATTTTCCTTTTGTGTATACTCATTTGCCTGTTTCAAAGGCCTATATGAATATTTATGCCATAAAGCAGAGATGTGCTCAAAGTGAAAAAAAAAACTTGTAAAAAGAAAAAAATAATAAATTCCATATTTAAAAGAAAGCCAAAAATTGAGAAGGTGAGGTTGTGACTAGTGCAATAAGTGCCCATGATGGTGATGCAGCTACATTACATGCCAAACCAACCAACCAAACAAAAAAAGCCCTCAATAAAATTGTGGGCTTGTGAGGAGGGCAGATACTTGTAAGCAGGGGCCCACAATTATATGGAAAGTTGGGATCTCAGCAACAACAGCATGTGGTGCGTGGGAAAGGAGTCTATAGCCACAAAACTAAAGCGTTACAAAGCCTTTAAACCACTCTGGTCTTTTCAGCTGCAGCCTTGTGCATTCCTCCTCAGAAGAACTAGGTACGAATAATGTTACAAGGAAAGGAAGGGCTATGTAAGGAAACCATGATGCATCTTAATTACTCAAGCAAATAAAATACACATTCATGCATTGAGGCAATATGTTCACCATGGAGATCATATATGATATCATTTACAAAGTGATTCATGTGCTTAAGCATAAGTATATAGAGTCTGTTGAATAAAAGCATAAAGAGAAAATTTGTAATAGTAAAATTATAGGCTTAAAAACAAGGATACGAGGATTAGTTTTTAATGGCTCTATCAAAAACAGCACTTGACAGGGGTGCATTACTGAGAGAGGAGTGAAGAAGAGAGCATATAGAATGGAATCATATGCAAATTCCAACAAAAAAGGAAAAAAAAGGGGGGGAAAACACTTCTAGCTGGGAAATACTGGGAGCTGTAGGCCTTCTATCCAAACATCCATAGGGTTGCACCTTTAGTTAGAAATTTATATCCTGCCACTTGGCACAACAATTCCCACTGCAGTGAAATTGTAGCTTTTTGATCACTGCTGAATTGCTGTGAAAATTTGGCAGCAGAAATTATGGCGGTAGCGGTATGGCTGCTAATGAGTTCCCGGAGACTAAAGCTGGAGCTTGATCTCGTCAAAGTTGCTTGCATTTGACATGAGGGATTAAAATCTATACTTGATCACCTCAGAGTTATTACACCATTAGAGGGAAGGCAGTGGATGTCCAAGGCAGACAATGGGGAAAGGGATTTCTCTCACTATTCTTCTACCCTGTACTGTACCTAATCCTTGGGTTTGTCACTGTGGCAATGTCCCATTTTATGGTGGAACACAGGATAACCTGTCTCTGTCCACTTGCCAGAGGTTTCAACATCTGCTGTAGAACCTTCCGTCTGCCCTATTCCTTACTAGCCCACAGGATACCATCTTAACTGTCATGACCTTGTGACAAGAGGAAAGGGGGAAATAATAATTCTTTTTCCAAGCCTCCAGAGGCTCCAATTCAATAAATATATATAGATCTGCATGTATTATCAGTCTGGCATATTACAAGAGTAAGTTCACCAGGTGCCAACATCCATCCATCCATCCATCCATCCATCCATCCATCCATCCTTCACCATTTATATGTTTATCATTAGCCAAAGCTGAAAGCCAGCAACTCAGGAAAAATCTAGAAATTCTGAATTTAGGAATTTGGAGTTGGAGTCACAGGGTTTGCTGACCCTGGAAACAGCTGCTTTTTTGACCATTGAGAGTTATAGATCAGAAGATAGTATAATGATAAAGTATATATTATTTTATCATTTATGAAGCATGTGTAACTTGAAAAAATCATCTTTTAATACCATGGGATTTTTATGTTTGAATGAAAAGGCTGCTATTTACTAATATTTATTTCTAATTTCCAATCCTAAAACAACGTAGCAAATATTATGGCATTATTAGAATATCAAACATCTATTTAAACATTCTGCATCTATGGGTAGTCAAAATGTGTACATCAGGGATGGCAAGCTCTGCCCCACATATATTCATCTGAATATGCATAAAATTGACCAGGGAAGTTGTCTATTCCTTGAAACCAGATTATTGCAAAGTGCTCTGTGTGGCAGTATATTGGAGGACAGTTCAAAAGCTGCACCTTGTGCAAAATCTGGCAGCCAGATTAACATGGACCAGAAGACTACAGGTCCTGCCCACTTGTATTGGCTGCTTCTGTTTTTGAGCCTAATTCACAATGCTGGTTTTGACCTATAAAGCTTTGGGAGAGCAATTCTTGATGACTTGGGAGACCAATTCATGATGAAGTTCCTCTTCTGGCATGAAACTACCTGTGCATTATACTCATCATCTAACGTGCTCTGGGTGCCACGTCCAAGGGAGGCTTAGAAGGTGACAGGGAAGGAGAAGGCCCTCTCGGTAGTGCCTCCAGTTATGGAATGACCTCCCCAGCCTGCCTTGGTTTACCAGCTTGGTTTTTTTTTTCCTTCTTAAGACTTCTTCAGGCTAACCCCAGCTGCCACACAGTATGAGTAACAGGAAACTGCTGAGTGAGCTCTTCAGTTGAATATTGTTTTGACTGTATGTTGTATGTGCACAAACTCCAATTCTAAACAGTAGTGACTATTTCTCATAGTTCCCAGTGGTATGTTTGCAATCCATTCTTAGATTATAACATGCAGCAAAATAATTATCAATAGAAGAATAAAGAGAGAAAGAGAGCATGTGACACAGAGTGCCTAAGTGTGGTGCAGTGGTCAGTGTTGGACTGGGACTGAGGAAATATCCAGGTACTAGTCCCCACTTGGTCCTGAAACTCATTGGGTGACTTTAGGCCAGTCACTTATAGCCTAACACCTCACAGAAATTTTGTTGAGAGGATAGAATGGAAGAGGAGGAGGATTATGCAACCTATCTTGGGTTCCTTACAGTGATATGGACATAACAGAGAAATAAATGGAGCAGAAGTCTGCTTAATGTGGACAGATGTGCTTGTTCTAGCTCTGATGTGATGCTTGATGCATCAGTATATGGTACTGGACTGTACCTCTCAACATATGGGTGACTTTGGGCCAGTCACAAACTCTCAGCCCAACCAATCTCACAGGGTTGTTGTTGTGGGTATAATATTGAGAGGAGGAGGAGGAGGAGAATGATGTAAGCTGTTTGAGTTCTTTAAGAGAAAAAAGTGGGATAGAAAACAAATACATTGTGCATTTGTGCAGTATTTTGCACTGGCTACAATGGAAGTTAATTCCACCCAAAATACTGTGTAACCCACTTCTTTCTTATAATGGGACAATAATTTATCACAACAATTGATGCTCTTATTTGTCAGTCTCTCAGTGTTATGAAATCTCAAGCAACTTCCATGATCAATCTACACAGTCTAATATTTTGTTTGCAGTGACTCTGCTCTTGAACTTAACAATAAATAAAATGGAGTATAAGTTCATTAGAGTAATATTATTTCTGGTTAAGAAAGCCATTCTAGGTGTAGATTTGTAATGAATTTTCAACTCATATTTTAGCATGAAGTCCTAACTGTGAGATTGTTGAAGGGGAAAAGGTGGCAACTTTTCAGTTTGCTCTGATTTACTGAGATTTATTTATTTATTAAAACATTTCTATGCCGCCCCTTGCCGAAGCCTCGGGGTGGCTCACAACACAAAATAAAATACAACAAAATACAAAAATAACAATATAAAATTAGCAATATAAAATAAATAACAATATAAAAGAAGTTGCCCTGGCCAGATAAATAAGCAAATATTGTTAACAATTAAAATGACGCTTAAATAAAAAGGTCTTCGCCTGGCGCCGAAAAGCAAATAACGACGGCGCCAGGCGGACCTCTCTGGGGAGCGCATTCCATAGATTGGGCGCCACCGCAGAGAAAGCCCTCCTCCGAGTACCTACCCTCCTAATTTCCTTCACGGAGGGTTCCTGGAGAAGGGCCTCTCCCACAGATCTCAAGGGGCGGCCGAGCATATATGGATGTAATGGATTTAATACGTTTGAGTTTTACTGAGTTTTACTGAGGTATAATGAAACATTTAAAAGACTACAATATCTCTTATCTAAAGAAAATTGAAGATGTTAATGAAACACTACATTTTCTTCCATTAGCAAGCAGGCTCTCTATAGGACCAGAGTTTAATTTTGAGCCAGGGCTCAAGTGAAACCTAATTTGAATGCCAAGAACACATAACAATTAAAAGCGTCAATTTTATTTAAGCGTCATTTTAATTGTTAACAATATTTGCTTATTTATCTGGCCAGGGCGACTTCTTTTATATTGTTATTTATTTTATATTGTTAATTTTATATTGTTATTTTTGTATTTTATTGTATTTTATTTTGTGCTGTGAGCCGCCCCGAGGCTTCGGCAAGGGGCGGCATAGAAATGTTTTAATAAATACATAAATAAATAAATAACATGTTTCAAAAAATGAAAAGCTTGAAATGTGACAGAGATACATCTCTTATAAGGAATAGTTCATACTGAATGCAGACTCTAGTTCACAAACAATGAAAACAGTTTCTGATTTGCACAAGGATGGAATCCTATGTATGTTTACACACACAGTTTACACACACCAAAGGACTAGAACATCCACCATTCTGGCTGGTGCATGCTGGAAATTGAAGGCCTTTTTTCTGTCTAAACCAGTATAGGATTTCACCTTACTTACTTAAACTTGGTAAGCCTTTAAGATGTAACCACACTTGAGCAAGGGTTTGGACTTGATGGTTTTATTAAGACCCTTCCAACTCTAGTATTCTGTTTCTGTGCTTTTGTGATTTTGCTGCACCAGAGGAAAAATGATGCCCAGCGGAATTCGTTTTCAGCAGGCTGCAGCACCTGAGCAAAGAATAAGCATGCCACAAGATGGATTGGTCGTGTTTGTGCAAAAGCAAACCAAATAATTGCCTGCAGGTTGAAAGCGAGTTTTGAACTTACATGGATTTTCCCTTTTGCACGGGGACACATTCGACCATGCACCAATAATCATAGGTAGCTGTGTGGTCCAGTTCACATACAGAACTCTTTAAGCAGGCCCCCCAAAGGACTGACTTCTGAATAAAGATGCTGTGGATACCAAGCCTTTCCCGCGTCAGTCTCGATCCAAATGCGTGGCGTTCTGGGCACGGGCTGGAAGCTCGGCATCTCCACAGCGCAGCGAAAATTCAACACCGCACACAAAAGTCCGTGTGGAGACGGCTATCTATCTGTCTAGAATGTCTGACAGTCAAGCCTAGCAATGGAGGGAAAAGAGCTATTTCTCTCAGGAAACCTCCGCTTTTCAGGAAGGCCATTTAAACTGTGACCAAGCGCCTGACAGCGGCGCTCGCCGAAGAGCAAACCACGCCCCACACTCACAAACGGATCTCCGAGGGAAGCTCCAAGGAGGGGGCGGACAGGAGGTTATGGCGCATGCGCACGGACCCAACCACGCGCAGAGTAAACAGCACCATCACGTGAACGTGGCCTCCGACGCCCGCTCAGCCGCTTGGCTCTCCCTCCTTCTCCCCCCACTGCCGCTTCAAGTGAGCGCGCCTACAAACAAGCGTGGGCACGCGGCCGGCAGTGACTGTCAGGCTAGACGAGCGGCAGGGACCACCTGCTGGCCAGGGAAGGGGGGGGAGAGAGAAGGAGCGAAGAAACCCGGACGTGTTCCTCTTAGTCAGCCAAGCAGTAACAGCCACCAGTCCTGACTCCGCCCACCTCCAACCCTCCCTCGCGCTCTTCCACTTCCGCACGGTAGCATTCCTTCCCCTCCCCCCACCCCCGGCCTGGGGCTGCGGTGCAAGGAGAGAGACGTAAGCGCGAGGGGACGAAAAACAGCCAACAGCACCCGGCCAAGCGAGGGAGCGCGCGCCCCTGGCCGACGCAGGTAAATGCTGTCTTCTTGTGTTGGTGGTGGGGAACGGGACCTGGTAGAGGACTGCGGCCTAGGCAGAAAGCTTGGGGGCTGTGCGTAGGTCTGAGGCTGCTGTCGGGTCCTAGTCAGCGCGTGTCATCTCGCCCTCCCCCGCCCGGTCGCCCCCGCGAACGAGCCTCGGCCCGAACCCCCATGATCCGGGTCTTCTGCCCCACCTTCTCCCTCATGCTAATACTCCGCTTCTCTCCCCCCTCGTTTTTCCTGGCCTCTTCTCCTGACCCCGCCTCTTCGCTCGCGCGCTCCCTACTGGCGCTCCGCCGCCGCCGCCGGGCTTCCTGTCGAGTAAGCGCACCCCGGGCGGCTTCCCTCGAGGCCTCGGGCCCTCCTGCTGTAGCCCCACCGCACGCCTCTCGCCTCCCAGCTCTCCTTCCCAAGAGGCCACGACTCTTGACCGCCCCCCCCCACCAGCCCGCGCGGTTGAGCAGCGCAAGGTTGCATGCTTAGCAGTAAGGCCGGTTGAATCCGAGGGGGTCTTGCCTGTGTCTGCGCTCGCGCGAAAATTTCATTCTTGCGGTTTAATGAAAAGTAGCATTCCCATTGAGCTCAGCTGAGCTTACTCCTAGGCGCGAGGATAAGGCTGTCCAAGGCTATTCGTCCTGATGGCTGCTTGTCAGTTCCACTATCAATGGCAGCATGGCTGTATGAGCCAGGGAGGGTGCTGTTGCACTTAGGACCCACTTGTGGCTTTTCTTTGGCTGCTGCACGAACAGAATGCTGGACTGGAGCGATCCTTGGTCTGCTCCCACGTGGCTCTTCTTAAGTATGTATAGCAGGGGTGTGGAACATGTAGCCAACTGCAGCTAGCTATCAGGAAAAGCTTCCTCCCTGTCAGAGCAGTGTGACAGTGGAACCAGCTGCCTAGAGAGGTGGTGGCCTCCCCCACACTGGAGACATTCAAAAAGAAACTGGACAGCCATCTGAGTGAGATGGTGTAAATTGGTGTCCTGCAACAGCAGGGGGTTGGACCTTCATGGCCTTTATGGCCCCTCTACTATTCTATTTCTATTAGCCCTAATCAGCATAGCCAATAGTGAGGGTGATGGCAGTTGCAGGCCAACAACATCAGGAAGCCCCCACCCCCTTTTCCTTCTGCAGTGTAGAGAGAGTCATAATTAGTCTCTTAGCCATCATTAACCCAGTGACAATTTTTTTAATGTGCATGTATGCTGAGTTGATTGGTATAGCATAACTAACCCCCTCCAGGATCTTTGCTGTCATTAGCTTGGACTATCATACTTTCCCCATAAGCATGTATTGAAAGGGTGGTGAGACAGCAGAAGTATTTCGCTGTGTACAATGCTTAACCAAGTTCGTTGTGTGTATGGCAGAATAATTTATTATTTTGATACATAACTAATTGACATCAAATGTTTATGAGCTTTTGCCTGTGTCTTGTCCCCAAATTTGCACATTTTCATGTGTGTAGTGTACAGTCAAGAGCATTTGCTGATCTATGTTGCATTACCTAAGTACAGCACTCCCACCCACTGATCAGGTATTGATATGCTCTTTCCCAATTGTCTTTGAATCTGGTACAAACTTCTGGCCTGTGTTTTTGTGCCATCCATCTGCAGATAAGACCCTTCAACAGACGTTGATGTTCTCTCTCATTTCTGATTTGCTCTTGAGTATTTTTATGCATCTGTTTGAACCATGTCACAGACATGGACATATTTGGAATTTTCCCAGTAAGGACTAGTTTTTACATTTTTGAGATGTACATACAAAAATTGTTCAGCTTCTTAGAAATTTCTCACAAAATGTAAAATAAACTTTGACATTATAGCAGCAATTTTTATTCAGGCTTTATTCTTTTTGCACTTATTCATGATGTTGTTGATTTTGTGTTTACTGTTGGTGAGTTATGGGCACTTTTATATTCAGATTCTCAGTAGTGCCAAAAGTACTATGTGTGTGTGTTGAAATCATATGGAGAGCTTGTTGGCTGCACCCTTGAGACAGGTTGTGAGAAAACTGTTTGCCTTTTTTCTCATCCTGCCCTATTCCTTGTAATTTCCTTTGATTTCTTGAGCTTCTGTTGGACTGTGGTAATTGTTGTCTTACCACTTGAGCAGAGGCAACAAACAACTTGGCATTTAGTTTTTAGCTGCTGCATGTTAAATTTCTAATGGTCAGGTTGTACCATTGTTTACTAAGAAGTTGCACTGAATTAATTGACTGAGTCCCAGTAAGCATAGGTAGGCTTGCTGTCCTAATTTCTTGCATTCTTGTATGATCTGTGGCTAGCACTTTCTCCAGCTATCCTGGATTAAAGCATGGGTGTGTTAAATGTACAGGCAGTCCCTGAGTTACGAATGATACTGTTCCTGAAGAAACAGAAATTCATTTTTTAGTTGTATTTGTATGTTAGTCAAATCATGTATAGTTGGCCCTCCACATTTATGGGGGTTAGGGGCTCAGAGTCCCTGAAAAAGTGGAAAAAGCACAAATATTTCTAGTCCTCCCCTTGTACCCAAACTCATCAGGGCCTCCTCTTTGCAGCAAGGAAATGCAGATTTCTCTCTCCATATGGATAGGGCAGGAAGGCCTGCTTTGGAGGCCTCCCTCTCTACTCTTTCGCTGCCTCCCTCTCTATGGTGGTGATGATTTCCTGCAGTAGACCTTTAATTCGTATTTTTAAATTAATAGACTTTATGACAGTTTGTTCATAAGTATGGGTTGTTCGTAACCTGGGGACTGCCTGTATTGGAATGATGGCAGGCAGGCATGAGAAATGTTATAGTCTCACATTCCTCTGATTATATCTGTAGCACATGTTGTATTTTTTCATCAGGGAGGGAGAATGGGAGGGATGCATTACTTTGTAACTAATTCTTATTGAGTTGTTTATTCTGTAGTATTTGTAAAATAATCTAGTTGGCTACATGTGAATAAATGCTTGAATTCAGAATTTATTGGAGAGTTGAGAAAATACAGCTATGTTGTTGAACTACATTCAAAATAAGCAATGAAAGGGAATCCAGGTCATAACTGTCAAACTGATTTAAAGGCATTATTAAATTAGCTTAGAGCAATTTTTCAGGAAGGCTCTATAATTACCATTCTCTTTTAGACTACTTTTGTTTCTTCTCCAAAGGAGTTCTGATTTGATGTTTGATACTATTTGTGTTTTCTGTCTCGCTTCTGTTGCCTCTCTACATAGCTCAATAGTATATTTTCTTGCTTGGCTTCATTATTGGGGCTTTTACAAGGTCCTTTGCATGCTGTGAACTCTTTCTCCTCTTGCCCTGCCAGTACAGAATTTTGGACATGCACTTCTAGTACATTCTATCTTGATTTATCTCAAAGTAGGGTAAGAATGTTCTCTTGGACTAGATCATCTCTATGCTAAATCCATGCTATTAGGCCATGGCAGAAAGCATTCCCAGTAGCTGCTCTACAGCTGTTGAACTTTTCCCTAGAGTTTTATTGAAGCCTGGTTCTGTTTCCTAGAAACCATTTAAGATTTAGAATTTAAGCAGGTGTTGCTTTTGTGTAGCATCTTTAACAGCATGGTTATTTAATCCAGCAGAATATTTTTAATATAATTATAACCTGCATTTAAGTAAATAATAGCATAGAAATTTATTGAAATAAAGGCACACTGCTTCAGCCCCTAAAAACTACTTACTATTTTGTATGGTTTTCTAGATATTTTAGGGTACTGACTACATCCCACCTTTGTCTGGACTAGTTTGGTAGGGGGTCAATGACAGGGATGTAGAAGCTGAATTATTGGCTGGGGAAATGTAGCCAGTAATCTCTGTACTATATCCCATTATCTCCTGCCTTTTCATGATTGTTACAATTAATGAGGTTATTAGTTTGAACAGTGTTGCTTCTTTAAAACTCTGAGGAAGGTATGTCAAGCTTGCAGTCTCTGTTCTTTATGTGGGCTGCCAGACATGTACCACTAGGAATGTGATAAATGTGCTCTTTGCATCCTGATGAACTGTAACATAGATGTGCCACTGATACTTAGGGACCACAGTTTTGACATGCTTTGTAAAGAGTTATCCATCCTGATATGAAAAGTTACCCAAATTGTTTAAAAGCTCTTACACGTAGTATAGAAGTGCTGAATATGAAAAGTAGATTAACTTGGCAATTTTAAACACATTGACTTGAAGTTCAAGTTATTTCTATACTGCTAACTTCAAAGTATGTTTGCTAAAGAGCAGAACATGACAAATTAAATTTATAATTGGTGAAATATTTCATGGTAAATTAATATTGTTCTAAATTATCTTCATAGGCAAGTATTATTCATAGATTGCAGTCCTCTTGAAATTATGGATAGTGTGGGAAGTTTTGGAAACAATTCCTCAATTTGTTGTTGGCTAGCTTAAGCTTAGCAATCAGTATTCCATAAAATATGCTCATGCACCTTTAGGAGGTCTGAGATGAATGTAATGTTCAAAATACAGTGTTCTATAGTGGTTAGAATGTTGGATTGGGTCTGCAAAGGTCTGGGTTTGAGATTCCACTTGGTCATGAAGCTTTCATTGTATTGATAAGACTTTGGGCCTGTCACTGATTCCAGCCTATTGTACCTAATCACTGCAGTCAATTTCTGCCAAAGTTGAGAGACCTTGCTGAATATTCAGAATTAATATTTAACATTTAAACGTGTCCTTTAAATCATCCAAATGTATGCTGGAATGTTTATCCTTAAAAACACTGACTTGAATACAAAAGGATGGGACTTCCCACTCAGTTTTTGGTGTCCCTCCCCTCCACAACAGCTCTCCCCCATTTAGCAGGGTCTCCTAACTTTCTGTGTGGCATTTTCAGTGGGCTGGAGGGGATTTCATAGGAAAGAACCACTTTCTGCTAGGTGCAGATGATACTACCTAACTCTGGAATCAATGCTTTGATTTCAGTGCACCATCCATTTAAAACAGGCATAGAATTCATGGATAATGAGGGATTTCAAAAGCAAACCAATCTCT